TGAACAGTATCAAACAAGAAAGTATTTCTGTTACACCATTCTATGAAACAGAATATTTTGTGCAAAACAAAGAAATCTTAATGTGGTGCATAACTCAGGTGCATTAGTTTCAGAGTGCAGCTCTGTACCCCACTGCATCAGAGGACAAATGACAAGCCACACATGTAAAGAACTGACAATTTTGAATTTTTATACAATGCACAGTGTCTTCTTCCACTACGGTGTAGCATTATGTACTTCAGAAATGAATCAAGCAAAACCTTGAAATACACTGTGGCAAACTGTACTGGAGATACCACGTTCCAGCTCAGAGAAGCTGACCATCATCTTGGTATTTACCAGACTCCAAATCGCAGACTTGGCAGAAAAGTTCTTGAAAAGAAAGTTACACTGCAAGTGTGGCGCTCACTTATATCCTTTAAATAAATTAATCTTCTTTGGTGATAGGCATAAAATGAAATATTTTGGCTTTGTTTTTTGAAGGAAGGCAACCACAATGCATTTTTAAGCATCAATTCTGGTTATCTGCGGCCCCAATCTCCCCATCTTAACTGACATTTCACTACAGAATTAATTACCAGTGCAAAACTTCTTACCTACACCGACATGAAGTCACAGTATCAAGGTTACAATCCACCACTATCTTGCAGTTGTTGTCATCTTTGCATCATCTGCTGCCCATCTAGCATGCAGGTAAGTTGCTGTGAGAAAACATGACCTGATCTAGCCCACATTTGGATCAGACAAGACCTGCACAGGGAAAAAGGACTGTTCCAACAGGATGGGCAAACATTCACCAAAGTCCTACTGGTGGGTGCAATTAGTAGGTCTAGTTGCATTTCCTTGCTACCTATTAATATGAAGCATTGTTTCTCATACAGCAGACGCCATGGGCTGCTGCAAGAGACTAATGCCAGATCATCACTCTACAAATTCCCTGACTAACAGCAACTGGAGATGTGCAGGTATTTAAGCTAAATCAGAATAGAGTAGTTATGTATGAGCAATTACTGTTCCAGCACTAGAAAGAGGCCTTCTTGCTATTCTTTTTATTTCATGTTTGACACAGCTGAATTTCCCAAATGCTCTTGTGGTTAACCTTCTTTACAAAGTATAAATACTATGCACTCTTATACAAAATACAGCTGTTATATACACACACACCTTGACAGCAAGGCCTTTAAAGAGCAGTGCAACATGAAATTACAGAGTCAACATATACAGAACACCTGTTTAGCTGCAGGCCAGGAAATCTCTGCTAAAAAAGGCAATCTGTTAAGGTAAAATGCTTTAACTGTACTTGTAACATTTGAATGGGATAATCAGAACTGTGTGACATGCTCTCATACCACTTACTAGCTACAGTCTGGTTTACAAACTGTAATTGCTGCATTTAACTGAAGACATACAGGATAGAATGGAATTGCTTAACACATCTCACTGGCATAAAGAAGCAGCCTTGCTGGATAACATATTGTTGACCCTGAATTTTCAGACACGGAATATACTTGAGAGTAAAATGAAGACACAAGTGAGAACACACTAGGTTTTGGCAAGTATTTTTATGTTAACTGTTTCTGTTTATGGCTTGTTATGGCTTTTTTGGTTTCTTTAGGAAATTCCTGCACAGCAAAAGGAATGAAGAATTCCAGAAGAGAGTTGACCTCCTTCAGTTCCAGACTGTATTCTGCTGCTATTTTCTCTGCAGTCCATATTTGAGGTTGAAGTTTATGATTATTAAGAAGTGTCAGAGCCTCCACAATGGAAATTTTGCCTTTGGGAACTTTCTTAACATCTAGAGCTTCCAAGTGGCCTAATTTTGTAAGTCTCTTTTCCTCCTGCTTACATGGCAGATGTTCACCACTTCCATCTTTCACCTAATTGAGGAAAGGAAAACAAAAAAAGCTCAAGAGTAGTTCTGTTTAGTACGCACAGTGTAGCAGCTAAGCTGCATTGTTAAATATGGCATTTCCTGTTAGCTTTCCCCAAATTAGTTTTTTTTTTTTTGCAAAAAAAGCTTAGCCAGCCTTGCTTCTTCCACAGCCATTTCACATACAGTGTCARCTCCCAACCAAATGCTGAAAAGCCCCTATCCATTGCACTCTAAGCATTGTATAGGTTTGACAGCCTTTCATACAAGGCAAACTACAAATTCTGGTAACCAAATGCAGATAATATTTGGTACTGATTCATTGGAAAGGACAAAATAATCACTCAACCAATTGGTATTCTTCTGATACCATTGGAAAACTTTTTCATCGATCTTTGCTCTGTCTAGAGAAAAAGCTTTCCTGCTATTTTGTAGCATCATATGGAGTTTAATTGCTATGACTAATGCAAAATATGGACACACAAAATCTCTTCATATTTTCAAATAATTTCCAAACTAGCTTTGACTTCCTCTTATTTCCTTTCATTAAGATTGAGCCAGTGAATGACACTAAAAAAACGACACAAGCATTTCTTAAATTCAGAAGTATTTACACAGTAATCAGAGCCCACAGCCACTGATTATCACACAGACAATCTGTATTGACAATCACACATGCTGAGAAAAGTGATGTGAATGCTACAGCACCTGTGTGTCTATTTCTAACAGACAAGGAATGTCTGTTTTGTACTCTGTACTTTCCTTCTGCTGTGTGCTAAAACTGTGCTTGGATAATGAATGGTTTTTCAGCTCTTAATAAGATCATGTCTCAGGGAATCTGCCACTTCAGGACTCCTGAGCTGGTGCTTCTCCACTTACCACAGGCAGACATACCAAACATACAGAGGCATGTACACATCATGTGCACAATGCACAAAGTTGTCAGGATAACATCAGGAAAAGAAGGAAGCTTTTGTATTGTTTTGCCCACAAGTCTTTGTGATTTCAACTGTGTTCCAAAAACTGCAAGCAGACGCACCACAAGTGCAAGTCTTATGTGGTAGGAGCCTCAGACTAGGCATGGAATCAAGCAAAGAGTTGTTCCAGTTTTGGCTTTTTCTCAAATCTCTCTTGACAGGCTTATAAATAAATATTGAAAGATACTGAAATCAGACCTTCAACTCTTCAAGATTAGAGCCCTAAACTCTGTGATGGAAATTAAGGATAGAGATTACTTGAAAATTTCAGGGGGAGACCGAAAAAATCTATTTGAATTTGAAATATTTTTAGACTTGAATACCATTAAGTGGCAGAGTAGAGAGACTTAAGGATCTCACTAGATGACTATAAAAATTTTAATGCTAAATAAAGCACCTAGAATAAAGTGGTCCAATAATGCAACAGGGAAAAGACATAAGCCATAGCACAATATGATGGAAAAGAGAAGACTGAACTCCAGTCTGCCTTTTACAAGAATATGCTTTGCCTTCCGAGTAAAAGATTGCAGCAATAAGGAAATGATGACCATACAACCCACAAGGTTGTGTAGAAAAAACCTAAGGATAAAAAAAAAGTCTCTCCACTGTATAACGTGAGTAACATCAGTAGTTAAAATATCCATTATGATGTAAACATCTTTGTCTTCTACCACATCCCTGCTCCCTCAGCAGTCCCAGTCTCTTCCAACAATTCCACAAATGATCTCTGGCAAACTCCTCTTTCTTTGTAAAAGGCTAGACAACTATCGTGCCTCACAGGAAGCAGAAATGGGAATTTAGGTGAAAAACAATATAAGATCAATGCAATGTTAAAAATTAAGATTTTGTCAGCATTTACGAGCTTGAATAATCTGTCACATGTTCAAAACCCGGGGTCAGAGACAGTGCTATTGATGTAAAGAAGAGAAATAATACCACTTTTATCTACTGAAAAAAAGATAGCTTTTATGCACTAAGAGCATTTTTCTTGACACAAACTCTGCTGAGTTTGAAGATCACAAAGCTGACGCTGATATGGCTCGTACAGATAAACGCACTCACCCGCACTGGTGGATCTCTGGACTCAACATAAACATCTTTTAGCAAGGTGAGGAACCTATCATCCTTTCTGAAAACTTCTTCTTTTATCTCTGGGCTATCTAAAGGCAGTGAGAAGAAGAAGGGAAGGAGGAAAAAAAACGGAGAAAAGACAGATCTCAGTCAAATAATTTCCTTTTTGTTAGTTCTGCCAACCCATCGCTTTCCCAGCGGCACGGCATGGCTCCCGCAGATGCAGGCGCCTTCTTGGGAAGTTGTCATTCTTCCCACGGGCCTCACCTTACCARCACCGCTTCACATGCTGGGGCTGGGCCGGTCACCTGTCACAGCACAGCGGGAAGCACACACTTCCCGAGCTGTGGCACGCTCGGTGCTGCTCTGTAGCGGTGCCTCAGCAAGCGCTCCCTGCCACCAGCCCACTGCTGCCCCCAGCAACCACCGATTTCACCACCGCCACCAATCATCCCAGCACCCATCCCCTCACCCGCCGCCAGGAACTGTCCCCGTGAACCACCTCCACCGACCGCCCCCTGTAACAGCCCCGGCCACAGCCTCCATCAGCCGCTCCGCCAGCTGTCCCCGGGAGCCGCCCCAGCAGCCTCCTTCATCACTCACCCCCAGCAAACCATCGCCATCGGCTCCCTCCCGTCGCTGCCCGCTGTGATCGCCCCACAAACCCCGCACCGTCCCACAGCCGCCCCGTGCCCGCCGCGGCTCCCGGCACGCCCAGCCCCGCTCTCAATGTCACCGGCCCCGCTCTCAATGTCACCGGCCCCGCTCTCAATGTCACCGGCCCCGCCACAGCCGCCGCGGCCTCGCCACCGCCCCGGGCCCCGCACCGGGCCCGGCCTGCCCCTCCTCCCGGGCCCACAGACGCCGCCGCCGGGGTCACCCCGCAGGCGGGCGAGGCCGGCACTCACCGGCCGTGGGGTCCAGCCGGGCGGTGGGGTGCCGCGGTGCGGGCGTGGGCTTGTCCTTGCTGATCTCGCGGCTGGCCCGGTTCTCCACGTTAAAATTCCGGAACACGCGGGTCACCCGCCCGCCCATCGCCGCCGCCGGCCGCGCCTGCGCAGCGGGCAGAACCGGGGCAGGGGTTGGTGCGCCCCGCCCGCGAATGCACCGGAAGGAAATARACCGAGTACTGCGGGMAAACAAACAAACAAACAAACAAGCGGACGAGAACTGCAGATAAGGCGCTTCGCTTTTCACTTTATGGCGCCCTGGCGGTGCTTCCTCAATGCCCTTGGGGCAGYCGGGGCGGCGTTGATCGTGCCGCGGCTTTTCTAAACGCGTGTGTGACCCGAGCTCCGTGTCGGGCGGCTCCGCTCAGGAATGCTCTCAAAGCCTCGGGCTGCCGCAGAGTTTCCTTCCCAGCCGTGGCAGCTGGCACATGAGCCCCCGGACACGTCGTGTCCTGGCTGTCGCTGCTCATTTATCGGCGGGGATAGGCTCGGTGGGGCAGCGCAGTGCTGCGGCTCGGCTCGAAACTGCAGCGAGGGACAGTTCCCCAGTACTGTTGGTAATTTGTAGGCTACACATCGCCTTCAGGCTGTAAACCCTCTTTTCCAGCTCAACCAAATAACCTTTCTTCTGACTTTGTAAAGATTGCGAAAACTGCTTGTGTGAAAATGTTGAGAAGGCCTTGAGCTGCGCRTGATAAGAAAGGTAAAAGTAGACAGAATCAAAATGTTTGAGAYGGAATCAGCAGCTTATAGATTCAAGAAGCAAAGTGTGAAAAGATACAGCATTCTCAGAGAAAGGAAGGCAGAAAGAGCAAGAACTATTGGYCTGATGCAAGAAGCAAGAAAGCCTAATCGACTGCTTTATTCAACCACGACTGATGAGGTGTCTTACCAACAGAGATTAATGATTCGTTAATTCCAGCTGCWGTGTAAATTAGCCAATAAGTAATTCCCTTGTGATTTTAAATTGTGTATATGCTGTTTACACACTTAGTGCCTTCTGGGCCACTAGTTAGTGTGATAGTAGTAATTGCCTGAAGTGACTTGGAGTGGGAGTGTTAATGAAGTTCAGAGAAAAGACCAGACTTCTTGTGCTACTTTTTTTTTCCTTCTGGTTTTTTTTGTTTGGGTTTTTTTTTTTTTTTTAAGATGGGAAACAGCTTTTTTTTCTGCCCTTGCATATATCTAATTGTTCTTACTATTGTGGGCTTTCAAAACTTGGTGTTTCAGAACTTGGTCTTCTAGTAGCACTATTTAGCAATAATAATTAGGWTGTGATAGTTGTCAAGGCTACAATGTGCTTTCATGCTGGATTAATGAATGACTGTGTTTTCCTTAGAGAGAAGCCAAATAGATTTAGTAATGGAGGCAATGGAGACAAGGTAACATAAGCATAGTCTGTGCTGGATCTCTGCACTCTTCGGGAATCAGGAAGGTGCATTTCTCCTCTTGTTTATTTTAAAGACTCTCACAGTCTGGAGGAGGATAGAAACATGGTTTTTTTCTCAGTAATAAGCTTACCGACCCTGTCTTATTTTAGACATTGCATGTGAATGATACTAAGACCAGTGATAGAGTGGTAACAGGAATGTGGAAGCTGTTACAATCTGCTGAAGTCAGACTGGTGACAAGTTTAATTAAATGTCTATAGTGTGAATTGCTTTCTGACTAAGCCTGTGTTCCTGAAGCCAGGATTTGATACTTTTGTAAGTGGTGAGTCTGACTGGTGTGGTTAAAATGGAAAAATCCACATGGATGCCATGTGATATTTTTGCCATGGATCCATTGTACACGTTTTGTAGGTGTGTTAGCATTTCTCTGAGACATATTCTTATTGATCTGTCTGCAGATCAGCCATTGTGCCAAATCTGGAAACCAAGTTTCTCCTTCAGAAGSTAAGAACTGCCACCTTCTGTGATCAAACGCAGCACAGGGATTGTCCTCGTAAAGCCTGAATGTGATTAAAGCWGCTGTAATATTTACTGACAGCAAAATAATTCACCAGAAGGCAGACAGTTAAAAATAAAGAGTGATGTCATGCTCTGCCTGTCACTTCCTACCACTGAGGATGGCACAAAGCTGTTCTTTTCATGTATAAAGAACCACTAAAAGTACAAGATTTTTATTGTGAAGAGTCTTTCTTAGACTGTAGGAAGCAGAAAAACTGAGACTGAAAAAGCTTTTTTTAGAAAATAATTTGTTATTTTACCAGTGTGACCATGTTGTTATTAAATAGTAGTAATCAAGAGGCTGGAAATTTTTTTTTCCATGTAAAGCATCTGCAAGTGGGATGATGAAAAAAATATATGTATGTGTATTCAGCTTAGATAGAATTTCAAATGGGATGCATTTTTCTTGAAATAGGAGTCCAATTTTTCCCTGGGAGTTTAAAGATAACAGACCATAAGAACACAGACTATCCAGCTGAGTTCATGCATATCARCAGCCTGTTCTCAACACTGGACAGCACCACACATCAGAGAAAATGCAACTCACATGATATATATGCCATAGGCTGCCACACTAGGTATCCTTTTAATCCTTTCATRCCTCATAAGAGAGAAAGTTCAAAAGCTACTGTGCACCTGGAAAATAAAAAGTACATTTATGATCATTCTTTGAATCWTTTTATCCCAATTTTGATTGTACATTGTATTTTTCTCTCTCTCAGCTAGTGCTGTAGCTGAGTGGAAAATCTGAAATGAATTTTGGTAGTTAACTAGCATCMAAAGTCTGATTGACCTATTGAAAATTCCCTTTAGAGAAGAGATAATAAGAATGTCTGTTGTTAACTTGTGTTCCTGTGTGGTATTACTAAGGCTTTTTGTTGTCTTTTATTACTCAGAAGATCAGGAATCAGAATATGAGTCCAGATGGGCAGGTATTCCCAGCGAATTTGGTAACAGGTGCCCAACTTGAGAATTTTTGAGAGGAGGCAGGTGAGGTTTGCTTTGTGATTTGGGAATGGCACAGCAGTTGACCACAGAGGAAAATTAGGAATGCTCTTACACAGCAGCTGCAGCAGCAGCACAGGTTTATTCTTGATTCTGTCCACATTTTCTACCATTGACACTGCTTTCCTCAACAATGTTTTTGTTGCTGTTTGTTCATAACTGATGACAGCCTAAGGGGATACTTGAGCAAATTCATGGATCATTAGGATTCARGGAATTGAGTCCTCTATCCTGATTACTGGTTTACTAGTAAACACAATGAGACCATTGATCCTTTTGTTCCTTATCTCATCAGTGTTAGGCAGAACCAGAGAACATAGCATTAGCAAGAATTGATTATGAGCCAAGCAAAAATTACTGTCCTGCAACTTTGTAAAGTCAACCTCGAGAGAGATGGCCTTACTGAYGGATCACTCTTGCCTTTCTGTGATTTTTGGTTGTTCTGTTACTTAATTCAGTTTGTTTCTGTCTAATTGGCTTCACCTGATCCATCTTTCACTGGCTTCTGARGTATCTGGAAATACATTGGATTTTGCTCGATTCCAGTCTGCGATCACAGTATTCCTGAACACTTGCATATTTTCAAGGCTAGGTGGCTGCAGTGCTTTATTTAAAGGAGTTTTTAGTAAGTCCTTATGTGGATGAAGTTTATGGCAGGTGCAGGAASCTCAATGATACAGGCTCATGCATCAGCTGAGGCAGATCCCTGGTTCCTTGTCAGATAATACTAATTTCAAAGACATTGCATTTAAATTCTCTCAATTGACTGCGGCTTGATATACCTGACATAATCTTCCATATTTTTTCCTATCATATTGTTGTATCCTAATTAGAAGGTTACTTTGACTTGGAAATGCACAGTAGGAGCCAGCATATTTAATGAGGCAGCCTGGTACAAGAATGAATTAATTTCAGCAATTAGACATGTCTTTTTACTTCATTTTTACTCACAGGATTCAGTACCCCATGCTCTCTTCTCAGTGGCAATACTAGTTGAGACAACTGATAGCCTTATTATTTCTTGTAACTCTGACTTCAGTTCATCCCTCTTGCCAGAAGGAGAGTGTAGGAACACCTCCAGAACAAATAACATTGCATAGATGGTCTGTTTTAAGAAAGAGAGGAGCTTCCAAAGCTTTTCTGAGCTCTATCAATCACTGATGGTTTGACTGGTCCTACAGAAACTACTGGGAACACAGGAGGAAAAACAAAAGGCATATGACAGGAGGAGTGTGAATACCTTGAAYTGGTATTGCTGCCAGGTTGCTTGGTGAGTTGGTTTGTTTGTGAGAGTTTGCACTTTGCTCCCAGATTGTTTCCCTCTGGCAGTGGCAGGAATGACTGTACCAGCTCAGATGAGGAGGAGGAGGTGAACCAGCAGTGAGAAGACTGGGTGGAATGGAGAGGTGGCTGGCTCATCTGAGGCTGGCTTTGCTGATGCTCCAACATCACCCAAGACAAACACCATCTGTTTGTTCTCACTTGAGGCTGTAACAGTAGCCATGATTTACTGCACTGCCAGTGCAGTAGCTGTCGGACAGTCCAGAAGATATTTGGTGAATGGATTCAGAATATTAGCTGTTTTGCTGGAGTTTCTTTCATGAAATATAACACACAAAAAATRACAAATATATATAACCTATATGTACTGGCAAGATGTTCTTCTACAATAATGTGATGTCTTTCCATCACAAAAGGATATTTCTATTCCCTCTATATGGTTTTAATTAATGATGATACATAAATATTTATGCAGGTGTGATGCATTTTGTATACATAACTTTATAATTTAGTTCTATCATCTGTGAGTTGATGTATCAAGGGATTGAATTTCCATGCTTTTATAAGTAGTTGCAGAACCTGTTTTATTTATTTCCTTTACACTTTAATTGCATCTTTCTGCAATTTACAAATTGTGTACTTTTGAGTGTGAGTTACATGAAAAACTGAAATCTGTTTTATTTAACCATGGGAGCCAATTTTTATGCAGAATAGGAAAGCCAAAATGACCTCAGTGAACACTTCTAAAACCATTTTATATATATCTCAGTCTTAAGGAATGCTTATATATAGACCTTAAGAAGCTGGAGAAGTTACAGTGTGATTTAATAGCTCAGTGGCTTAATCAGTGTTATGCTGGGTAAGTAGCATTTGAGTCCGTGTCCTATACCTGTATTTATCTAGATGCAGTAGCTAAAAATCTGCCTGGCACACACAAAGGATTCTCTGCAAATATTCAAGGAGTCCATACTGAGATTACACGTCTTTCCTGGCTGCTTCCACAAGCCATTTCAAGTCCTCTAATTTTCACAAAGCAAATGCACTAATTCTGGAAAAGAATTCTAGTAGGGAAAGCTACCAGACTGCAGAGTCAAGAAAATGTGACCACAGTGTTGCAACCTACAACCTTTAATTCAGTCTTGAAGTAAAGATGAATGTGCAATATTGTATTACCAAAATATAAWCTACAGAGCATGATTGGAGAAATACATCAAATTCATTTAGCATTTAATCYAAGAAAGAAATGAATATTCTAAAAAGTGCAGTCACTAGTAGAGTTACAATATTAAAGTCTTCCTGATACAAACATAACTTTTTCTTAAATTTCTGGTTGAAGTAACTTTATTTTAAATTCTAAATAGCAACTGGTTAGGAACTGACCTTAAAACATATAAAACCAATAAAGTCCTATGGACTTCAGTAATATTTATAGAGCAGGATAAATATAAATGAAAATAAAGGGAAATAACCCAAAATTCTAGACAAATACCTGCATTTGAAATGAATCAAAAATTCTTAGATCTTGAGGTATAATTCAGTGAGGGTCAGGAAAGAAATTCTTGATGGAAGATTCTTCATAACTGTTCTGTATACTGCATGGGTTTTGTTCTGTATCTTGSTGTGAAATACCCTTTGGAAGCCCTTAGTTTTACAGAGTTTTACATAACATGCATTCATATTGATGATCAGGGCAAAATAGATTTCTTATCTACTTGCTTCATATRCCATAAAATAGTATGTTTTATTTGATTTACCAATATACCAGAATGGATTACTGCAGCACAGTGTTGTAACAGGAATAATGTCTACTACAAAGGATTTGATCTACATGTAATGCATTAGTACCCATCAATGTATGTCACAGAGGAGGATATAGTTAAGACAAATAATGCTGCATTGTTTTAGTGAATTTTGCATTATTCCCTAATACTATACTTTATGTACAATAATACAGAAAATTAATTACATTGTTCCTACAATCTTCTGAGCATTTTCATTTGTATGTATCATCATTTACCTGAGTGATTACGTGTCCAAATTGTGCTGGGAAAGAATGCATTAAAGAAACAAGAAAAGGTTTCAGTGATACCAACACATGACTACCAGTATTAGAGTTAAAATGGAAATAATTACTGAAGTTAGAAAGCCCTTTTGTGTGCCTCTTCTTCCCACAGCATCAAAAATCTAGGGGTAGCATGTGGGACACAGATGTATTTTGAACAGTTACATTTACTAATTATATAGATACGGTGGTTAAATATGCAAGTGTCAGGTTGCTCTGGGGCTACTAAAATAGACAATTAAAGAGGTCCCCAAATATTTAAAGTACTACCTCTATGYATTAAAAGTCCATTTTTAGCTTGTATAATAAGGGCATGATAAAGCTTCAAAGCTCCAGCATTTTAATGCAGAYTTACTAAGACTCCTTGAAGGCAGAGTTCTTTCTTTATGTAACATGTCTTTGGGATCATGATTAAGCTACTACAATCTCCTATAAACACAATAAAATACAAAACCAGAACTCTCAAGCACTAATTCAGGAACTTTATAGGGACTACTGTACTTTTTTGGGCTAGAAAATGCTGAAAATGGTCAGGTTTYCTTTAGCTGATAAACAGTTTGGCAGAATGACTCACATTTTTCTAATATTAATTAAGGAATTTAATTCTTCACAGGATATCATGATGAGTGATAATAAATGATGAATTTCAGATGCACAAAATTAGTAGAAAGAAGTTAGTTACAAAAATCCCTCTGAGCACCTTTCCATGGGATGAGGTCTCAGCATCTAACAGCTGTCAGGAGATGAGGTTCCCTGCTGTACCTACAAGTAGCAGGTCTCAGCCTGTGGATGACAGGGACTTTAAATAATTCAGTACACTGAGTTACTCCAGAGGAAATGTCTGTTGATGGCCTGTCTGAGTCAYGGCAGCAAAGCTGCTCTTGTCGGAAGTCCTGCCAGACTCTCATCAATGGATTGTGACATGGGCCAGTTTCATCCTGGTGTAAAATCTCTTGTCAGACTGTACAAATGATCCCTGCAGGGCACCTCTCTTTGCAGCAATGGGAAATCTCACCTTAAGAACAATTGAGATTTTCAGATTTCTGCAAGTTGCTCCTGCAGTCTTTCACCTTTTGTTCAGACAYTAGAGGGAACATAAGTTCTTGTTTAATACTTTATTCTGTTTGGAAAATGTGGGTCAYTTTATTGTGGTTAATTGCTACAATGAGGTATTTTCTTATTCCTCTGCCACCCCTGTATGTACTATAATTTGTCTTTGGGCTTAGGGTCAAGAAGCAGAACTACAGACTCCTCACACGGGAGACAGAACATCAATTTCAGATTCTGTTCTCTTTAAGTGCTGAAATGCAGATGCCAGTGATCTCCACTAACAGGTGCAGCATCCTCTGCATGGATATTCTCAAAAAATGAACTCATTACAGTTCAGACTGTTGCAGCTCCCAATAACAAAGCAAGATACATTTTCCTCTTTTTAATGAATGGATGATGTTGACCATTGCCTTTCATTTTTTCTATTGGTTCACATGTATTTCAGGCTCTTCCACAATATCCTAAGACAGGTTAGAAGACAGAGTGGAAACTAACACTGCAATTTTAAAATAGCAGTTACACATTTTGCTAAAATTAGATCTTTTTTCAGATGTTTTGTCTTTCTGACAAATCATAAATAAGGTGTGGGGGGTTTTTTTTGTAGTGCAATGTATAAATTGAAAATAGAGAGTAAAAGGCTAAAGTATAGTCAGCAAATRTGTAAGTTAAAGCTATTATGAAAAATTACAAAAAACTGTGAAGGTGTGTTCCTGTTTCCTAAAAATAGGGAAAATCTGAAAGGTTTAAATTTTGGTATCTTTTACAACTTATCATTTTATTAATGCATTATGTGTGTTTGCCAGAGGGAATAATACATATGTTTTCTCTATTGCCCCTGTAGACTGGGAGTTAAATGGCAACAATATTTGCTTTACTGCCAAAATTTTATCTGGYGTTTCTGATTTTGCAGGTTGTTCCTTCTGGGCAAAACAGAAGATGGCTTCTTCAATGACTCTTCTGATGACACATTGCTGATTGGAGTTCTGTTCCTTTCAAACTGTATATATAAATCCTGTTTTGTCTGGACACAGCAGCAAACAGGAGATCGTTTCCATGCTCAGTGTCAGGCCCCCACCAGGCAACATCCCCCACACGTCCACAAAYACACAATTGTATGCTGCTGTTGCTTTTGTGGACAGGAGGGGCTGTTGTCRTCTATTGCCCTTGCTGTCACAAGCCTAATGTTTCATTTAATTACCTCCACAACCTGTGGAGGTTGTGCTGCTTTTTGTATCTTCATCTCAGATATACAGTGACTCCCCCAGACAACTCCCAACCCTCCTGATTTCAGATCAGATTATTCAACTTCCACTCCAKGTCTCTCATTCTGGTGAATGATTTGAACAGTGACTTCAGTTGTTTTGGATAAAATAAATTTTAAAAATAAAGGATATTTGGCTGTAGCTGGAATGGAGGTAGGCTATTATTCTTACTAACCCTAAATAGGATTTAGACTTTACCATAAATCAGAGATGCATCTCTTGAAAGTTGGTCTTGAAATCTGCCTTTTAGTGTCTCCTGAATCATTATGACTTTCTGTCTAGATGAGCAGACAAGTGCCTGGTTTCCAGAGTGGAATCCATCACCCTGAAATTTCTTTCAAGTATCTTTTTTTTGTGTGCTTACCAGAAGCAATTTAAGGCTGCAGTCTAATAGTGCTTTTTCTTTGAAGAATTCTTCTTATGCCAGTAGACACCCCTAAGCCCCCTTAGTAAGAAGGGCTCCTCTGCCTGCATGGTAAGCCAGCTCAGCCTACTGCCTGTGCAGGAACCTATTCACTTGCTTTTCTTACATTCTATATTTTTTTCAGATACACCTTGTTTAAGAGGGTGAGTAAGAAGCATAGCACATATGTCTTCCCCAAGTACAATCCAGAAAGTGGCTGAAGGGTTTCAAGACTTTGGTATCTAAACTAGGGATTTTATCTTTCCTGATTTGTCAATTACAAGAAGAGGACATTTAACTGATGTGCTAAGGATCTTCCTCTTGCTCTTTGTCCTGCTGTTTGGTCAAATGTTTGGTTTGTTGTTGGCTGGTTTTTGGGGGTGGGGTTTGTTTTGTTTTGTTCTAGCATCTGATATTTTGTAGTAGATGAAAAAAGATACATTGTGTTCTGGACTAATATGCCTTTTAAAAGTCATTGTGTTATAGAAATGCACCTGCAAGTACATACATACATACATACAGAACTATTCCCACTATACTAGATGGATGCTCAATCTGATGCCTTATCAAGATAGAGCAAAGACATGGAGTAAGCAGCCTGTCTAGTATTTTGTGTATGGAGCACTGTTTTCCATCTTTCATCATGATCCAAATAATGGTATTGCAGACCACCACACATGCAGCCYACTCCAAGAAAATGTTAAGCAAGCATAGACCCTTCAGAGAACTGTCTGAATTTCTCATTTCTTGGGCAGAGATATGTTAGAGTGGCTTTTGCAGTACTCAAACACATCCATGGCTACTTAATACCAAGAATRGAAAAAGACAAAACATATGTTCTGGCAAACATGGAGAAGCAGATTAAATTACAACAAGCATACTCCTTATCCCAACTGCTATTTTCATGACATTCAAAATAAGCAAATTTGCATACATGTGGAATTTGCATTCACCTTCTATYACCAGTTATGTGATTGATTAAAGATTCCATTGTGTTAGATAAAACGGATTTATTTTAGCAAACTGTCTATTCCAGATTTCTGCTGTTCCTTAACTAAGGAGTTAAGCATTGGAATGTCAGCCTGTGAGGGTTCAGTTACACTGTGTCAGGTGAATGTATGGTCTGAATAAATACAGCTACAATTCTCCCACCAGAATGACTAAGAAAGTTCTTTTTCCACTGATTTAACAGCACCAGAACAGGCTTTCAGGCTTTTCAGTTTCCATTTTGCCTAAATACCGCTGTGCGTGGACTCATACTCATCTATTCTGTGAATGTGTTGACTAGAAAATCTTCTGTTTCCAGTGCACAAATCCTGGCAGAGGTGCAGGGGTCTTAGYTCAGACACTCAGGTGCCAGAATAAGCTGTGATCTTGTATCTTGTATGTATGTGAATTCATGCTSTGACAACATGAAGCCATAAGGAATCTTCAATAATACCCTAAACCCCACAGAGAACTGTTAGAAGACATACTGAGAAAGTGAAAGATTGGTGGCATTTGCAGAAACAACCTAAGAGGTAGTAAACCTCTAACTGTAAATGCTAAGCGTAGCAGCCTACAATAAATGATTTCTGCAGGTGCTTTTGCATGGGTAAATACTGGAAGTCCTTGATCAGTTATGGAATCAACTGTTCTTGAGATGGTGCCTGGAAAGTGAATAGTCCCAGTTAGAGGAAAACTCCACATGCTCACTGTCCCATACTGTGTTTCTAATGTGTATCCACTGGSTCTTCTTATTCTTTTCATCTTCAGAGGTTAGAAATTTGGAGAGCTTTATGATTAAGCAGTTAACTTTTAACTGTGTGAGGAAGGAATTGCTGCCATGCATAGTTAGCACAGTAAGGTCAGCTCTGCCAGCTGTAGTTAGAGAAGGAATGATAGAAAATCCTTTGGTTCTGCAGACAAAGCTCTATAAATTACTCGTATGAGCTCTCCCTCTCACTGCAGGTTTCTAACACCTGCATCTTCCCTTTTATGAGGGGGAGGACTGGTTGTCTTAATATCCCAGAATTGAAAGTGCAGCAAAYATTCAGTGATTCTTTCAGATCTTCACTATGCCATGCAACTTTCCATTGCAGAAAAGACCTGAATGTAAGAAAAAGCTGAAGGAAGAGTAAAGACACCATTATACAAACAGAATAAAAGTCCARCATTTTAAAATGGAAGAAAAAATTCACTGGTTTTGAAAACAAAGGCATGCAGAGTCTTCTACACAAAGGCCTACACTTTTGTTAGCAGAGTGATAGTACCAAGGCTTGCAACAGGCTCCCTAAAGTGTCACATATACAAGTTCATCTATGACAGTGTGAAAAGCACTGCAGGAGTGCATCGTCTTTCTCCCTCTACCTGAGCTCAGGCTCTATCCTTGCTCTTCCTTTGCCAGCTATACCATGATGCCTTTCATAGATCATCGAAGTTTTCATACATCAGAGCCTCCAGCCTGATGCTCTTGCAGCAGCCACATGCTGAATGGAGCAGCTACATTTTCAGAGCACTGGCAGTAAAATATGTTTCCTTGATGTTAGAAATACACCTCCTACTTCACAGAAATAAAAGCTGTGGAGTATCACATCTAACGTGCCAGACTAGTTTGATTTCAACAGTTTAGAAGTTGAGAATGATTTTGCTTAAAGCAGCCTCAGGCTGAGCCATGCTCAACTGTTCTCTGGGAGTAGGGAGGTCTAGGAAAGGGAGATGGAGGAATAGGGAAACTGTTAACATCCAGTGGCTGGAAATTTACCTACCAACAGTAGTATATGGCTCATGTAGAGAACTGTTTTTATACTTTCTTGTCTAACCTCCACTTGCTTTTTCCCTTTCTGTAAATGTTAAGCACTATATCCAGGGCTGTATTCAGAAAAACACACACAGTAGAGGAAGTATTGCAGGTTCAAACAGGACCTTACACACCCTGCTACCTGTCAGGAAGTTTCTTTCCTCTAGTAGGGGATGTTATCTCCTGTGACTAAATCTATTCCAAATGAAAGAACCAGGTCAAAGCAGTAACCTAGACAACTTCAATGTTACAGCTAACACTACTATATATATAGCTTCTAMTGAGAAGGGAATAGTTATTCTCTTACCTGTTTTAATTATCTTTTGCCCACTGGGCTTCTTTTATGCAGGTGCTCTCGTGCAATTGTGTTTGTCAGCTCCACCAATAAGCAGAAAACCGGAGGCACTTAGGGGTTTTTTTCCTAGCTACAGCTGCAGTGAGGATAGACGGTGAGATTGCAGATATTACATTTTCTTCCCTTTTAAATGTTAGACTTTTATTCTGTTAGTTTCTTTTAGATGTTTGTGGTGCAAAACATCCATGTCTAACCTGGAAAATGCTCATCTCAGCTGAAAGAACTGCTCAGAACATAATGTAGCATTCAATGTTTTCATGTTTTTAATCAAARCAGTAGTGCTGGGTATATATTTTAATCAAAATSATCATGCTGGGTGCTTTCAGATCTAACTACAAATTGCCTGTGTTTACCTGGCTAATTTTCAGAATGTTGAAATAACATGCACCACCAGTACAGGAGATTTACATTCAGCTTTGCAAATCAGGAAGAGCACTGTAAGAGGAAATGATGGGTTAAGAACAATGAGTTGTAAAAAACCTCTGAACAGAAGGTTTACACAAACATTGATTGCACATGATCAGAGATTGCTGTAACTTGTGSCTATGTGGGGAACTCATAAATCACCAAAAGATGAGAATCTTGCAAACCTGTACTGGAATCTGAACTGCAGAAGTTTTCAGTATGGATAGCTGAGTGATACATGATCCTGACACAGTGACTGTTAATCATTTTAGATGTTATCCAAAAATTAGAAGGAAAATACAGGACCTAGTGTGGCTGGAGCCACGAGGCACTGTAGTGTTTACAGAGTTTACAGCGACAGAAATTTTCATTTGCTTTTCTTCATAGAATCTGAAGGGGTAACACAAAATTCTGTATTTATGTTTGAAAGCAGTCTCAGTTTTAAGTTCAAGCCAGCTGTACCCTGAGGCTGAAACATGGCCATGTTTTGGCAGCAGGGAAGACTGCCATATGTTGTAGTGATAAAGAAATTACACTGATGCCAATCTTTGAAGTCAGTCTTCTACAAAATATATAAGGGAATATATTTATGGCAATACAAGCTTTTGTAGAGAGAGAGAGTAAAAGAGCTTGACAAGTCTTTATTTAAGGATAATTTTTCTCTCTTTAACAGTAAATGCTGCAAGCCATAATTCACTGTTGTTCTTGAGAGAAGTTGTATCTAATGCATGAATCCATTGCATCTCCCTGTTACACAGGATTGTTTGCTGTCTAGCTCCCCTTTTTCAATAGCCATAGGACAATTTATTCTTTGAATAAGTTCTTACTTATTGACTGGCTTTTAGGTAGTACAAACTGGAAATCAATAAGAAGATCCATTTTTTTGGGAGTCATTCAGGTAGGCCTCTAAATGAGAGCAGGGATGTGGAGACCCTGGACTTGGCTGGCAGCACCATGACATATTCTTTCCTTTTTTAAGGTCAATACAGGCCATCGGTTTGTAGTTCTCATGGGTAAATTCCAATGCTTTTAAATTTGGCAATTTGTTTTAGTTCTAGCAGTATGTCAAGGATHTTTGAACACAACTATTTGTATTCTTGATATGCATATAATAAAATATATTTAGGATCTCTTCTTACAGTGCAGTAGTTCAAAACCACATCTACTGCAACCTTAATGCAGAACAAAATATCCAGTACAAAATACAGATCTCAAGCATAAACCTTCTGTTCCCTACTGTAAAAACTGAAGCTGCTGTTTCTTGTTGCTGAAGAAGGACCATTATTGATCCATAAAGCTGACAATCTGAGCAGTTTTAAATTCCTGCCATTTACCAGTATCCTGAGGTACATTTTCTAGATTGCTTAGAATTTGCTGAAACAAACCATGGGTTCCACCAGCATTGTTTTTTATRTCCATAAAGCATATGGCCATAAACCACCATTTATGTCCTTGACCTTTTGAAAGAAATTACTCAAAGAAGCAATAAATTTGTTTTGAAGCAGATGCTTTACTATTGGCTCAGTCAATAGTTTCCAGATAAACATTTTCTTGCCCAGCAGTGATGGTAATCTTCAAACTTCCATTCTTTGACAGTATACAAGCTAAGTTTTTTTGCATCACCTGTGCCAACAGGTTCAGCTGGCTTTGCAGTGAGGACACTAATTCATTTGCATTCTTTATATACACACACTTTGCTATTTCCACTCCTTCTCTTTAATTCCTACAGTATTTTGCAGCTGAGAAAAAACAGTTTCTGTGRTTTTTTCAGAGTGAAACAGAGATCTCCTAAGAAGATATTAATTGCTTTTCATGGCCCCCCATCTCATCAATCAGAAAAWTTCCTTATGTTATTCTGAAACAAACAGTTTAGTTTGAGGACAATTTCTACMATTGGTGTCAAAATATTTAATACTCTCCTCATCCACATATTTGCTTCTCAGTCAACCTGAATGTCCCAGCTCTACTAGAAAATGGTACAGTCATATTTTGTAATACATCTTCAGACACTTGTGGAAGTTCAGTGGTCAGCAATTTTTAACAGAGGTAAAAGATCCTGATACAACTAATGCAAATACATTATCTGCTGAACAACTGATAGACAGGAGGCCACCTATAACATATGCATAAGATACCAACATCTGTTGCTGCTTCAGWCAGTTTTCACTAACTGAATTTTGTACTTTATTGACCAGATCATTAATTTCTCCTGCAAATCTATTTGGATGATAGCATTGTGTCAATGAACAGCTTTCTCATGATATAGTTTTGTATAGATACATGATTTATATTAACAGTACTGACCCAATGGCTAGCTGTGCCATGAAAATTTTGGGTATTCAGAATTGAAACCATATACTCTTAGACAAATCTTGGGKTTTTTTGCAGATTTGTCTGTGCTTTTTTTGAGTTATTTCTTCTGGATTTRCAGATCTGTTTTCATTGTTTCATTGTTTTTATTAATTTTGAATGGTCTAGTGATTCTAGTTTTCACTTCTTTTTCCATAGTGCTCATTATCTCAATGTACTCTGCAATTAGTTTTTCTCAAACTGTCAGCTTTCSTTTAAGGGCTACATGAATTTTCAGTGAAAAGATAGTTACCATTTTATTTTTGTGCAGCAGTGAAGTCTCCTTTTAGGTGCTGAATCCCTTCAATATCTTCCTTAATAACAGCTCCTTTTGGCAGCTGCTGGTTAACTTAAGGTTTCATCACATTSTTTGCTCTGTTAGCATACTCCCCTGTACTCTTTTACCTCAGGATTCATAGATGTGGGAAAAACTTSGGCTTTTATTGATGTTCTTTGTTGTTCTCTGAGAGTTTTGAAGGATCCTCTTAGGATGCCCTG